TCTAGTTATAAGCAAGAAAAACAGGTTTCAAACCTCAATCTAGTACTAAGACAGCATCCAAAAATGGGGTGAAATGTTGTGTTTGTACAATATCACAACAGAGCCCAGACTGTGTCCTCTCCTCAGCTTACCCTGCTCCTCTATAAGCATTAGACAGATTACTTAGTGTCTCTAAAGAAATCTGTTCTAAGCCAGGTGCCAGTGTCCCATGCCTATAATCCTAACTACTCAGGAGGCAGAGATCAAAAGGCTCATGGTTCGAAGCCAGCCTGAGCAAAGAGTTCACAAGACCCTATCTCAAAAATACCCAACACAAAAAAAAGACTGGCAGTAGAGCACCTGCCTGGCAAACGTGAGGCTCTTGTTCAAACCCCAGAATTGCACAAGAAAAAAAAATCTGTGCTGAGCTCCTCTCACCTATTTACTTCACCCCAGAAGTAAACTCTAACTCTAATACTCTCAAACTCTAATACCAGTGAACATCACCTGCACAGCACAACTCTCCAACTTGTATCAACTCATATTCCTCTATTTCCATGCTGCTGCTACAATAGTCTTATGAAAGGCACTGCCAGGACCTACAGATTCTAAGGTTTCCTACTGTAATAGCATCTCATTTTGACCAATTTTACTCTATATTCAAAAGTCACAGAATCACCCAAGCATTTTGTTTATTATCCACTTTACTTGACCTGATCAATCATACATGGTACTGCATTTGCAAAAATTTTATAATCTAGAAAAAATTTTAAGTAGACTTGACCAATGTAAAAAGTTTGGATGATCTGGGAAGAGAGTGAAATCCATCTTTTAGTTCTTATCCTCAAAGACATAGATTCTAACATATAATATAAATCATTGCATGAAAGTGGTGTCAAAGTAAGAAGCATAAATAGTTCTGTGGCAATTCACGAATATGGGTATCTTTATCTGTCTTGCTCCCCAATCTATTCTACTCAACACCTAGCATGGGCCTTTTAAAATGTTAGTCACATTATGTCATTTCTATGCTCAAAATCTTACAATGGCTTCCCATCCTACTCATAGTTAAAATCAATCCTTCTGATAACATGAAAGACCCCACATGACCAGGCCTTTGTACCACACCTCACAAACTAGCTCTGGAATCTCTCTCCCATTACTCTTCCCACTGCACTTTGCTCCAGCTTCATGGCCTTTTTGCTGCTTCTCCTAACTTCTGAACACGCTGCTTTCTCAGGATCTTTGTGCCTGATATCCCTTCTTTGAGTGTTCTTCCTGACCCTCTTCCTCAACAAATTCCCTGACCAACCTAAAACAGCAAATTCCTACTCTCCCTTCCTTGCTTTTTTTTACATAGTACTTCTTACCATCTTTTTATTCTATTTGCTTATTTATTTGTTTATAGTCTGTCTCTCCTGATTAAAATGTAAACTGGAATGTAAATTCTACATAGACAGGAATTTTTGCCTGCCTTTTTTTTTTCACTTCTGTACTCCAGAGCCTCGAACAATGCTCTAAACACAAGGCAAATAAATGTTCGCGATAGATATGGAGACTAAATTAATGTTGATAAGTATTATCTGTTTGTTTGTCTTTTTGTCTGTTCCCATTCACATGTAAGTTTCATGAGGGCAGGGACAAGTATTTTCCACTTGCATGGAACCAGCACATAAAACAGAACCAGGAATGTAGCCAGCACTCAGCAAATATTTATTGAATGAATTCTCATTACATTCATTTGATAGAGGACAGAAAGAAAATTTTAACTCAGATCTCAGCATTCTCTATACATCTTGCTTGACTCTCACATAATGTAGTTCAATGAGGACTGAATCATCCACATCTTTAATTCTAAATACATATATATATATATATATATATATACCCCTATATTTTGTATATAATCCAATGTGCAATTAAAAAACAAAAATGACAAGGAAAGATTAGTGAGGAAACATCAGTGTTTCCTTGGTGATAAGAAATGGCTTTCATGGTACAAAATTGTCAAATTACGCAAAAAAAACAAATTCACTTTCATTTTTCCCCACCATGTTTCTTTTCCTATTAATCAATTACTAAAGGCTATTTTTGCAAAGAGCTTTCACCCTTTGCTTCTCTTCCTGATATTGAAGCTAATTCATAACACTGAATAATGTGACATTTACTTTCTTAACAAACTGTCTGGTATAATAAAGGTTTCTTTTGTTTGTTTTCTTTTGCTCATAAACCCAGCACACTGAAAATAAGGACGGTAAAAAGACTGTGTCTACTAAAACAAATGTGCAATCCTCAGGATGAAGCCCTCTTTTTCAGAACCAGTACTGGGTGAACATTCTTTGTCTACAGCAAAGATGCTATCAATTCAGAGATGTGGGGAGCAAAGCAGAAATCACTGCTGGTGCTTCCCCTGAGATTAGGACAAAGTCCCTTCAGTCAACCAAACTAATCAGAAAACACAAATACCAAACGGCCTTCACCCTTGCTGTGACTACCTGGGGCAAAGCCAGAAGGTCAGCAGCTTTGTACATTCATTTTCTGACCCCTCTTGAGCTTAGTGTATTGGGTCAAACTAGACTACAGTTTACCTTAAATCTAAAGCAAGTGATCTATAGCTTTACCCAGTTTCACAGAAAAATCCATAGGATGAACTCACCACTTGTAAAAGCTAAGAATTACAGTATTTCTTTCAAAAATGTTCAGTTATTTTTAAAAAGTAAAGAGGTCAGTATATAGCTTCAGAAAAGGTTAAGAGCTTACTGATTTTGGAACTAGACTCTTAAAGGCTGAAACTCATCTATCAATAGTCTTTCTTAAAGTGTAATTTATGTATCTGTTTACAAAATCATAACATAAGGACTCAAGGACAGGAAATAAAACATGTGAGAATGCCATAAGCACAGCCATTACTGGGCAGGTGCAGGCCAGGGAGTCTTCTATCAATCTCAGAGCACAGGACAGTGAATTTCAAGCTGTGGTCTGTGCAGCCCACCATTCTCAAAAGGTGCATGGGAGTAGCTACTGAGTGCTAAAGAGGGGACCAAGCATGTTGCTTTGGACTCCTCACCCCAACACCAAATAAGCAAACAGCTCTGCCTCTCTTAATGTTCAGTGTGTTGGGATTCTACAATACCATAGATTTTGGGGTTTTGTTGTTTTTTTTTTTTTAAAGGTAGGGGTGGGGAAGTACCACCTTAAAAATAAATGAAAAATACCAGCAGCAAAGATTTTAGAAGTCAAGGAGACCAGAGTTCAGATTCTAAATTTATTGAGGGACTAGACACAATTATGCTTGCCAAAGAATCAGTATCCACAGGCTAGCAATTATTGCTACTTATAAAGAATAGTACAAAAGGTATTAAAGGAGTGATTCTCAAAATATACAACCAAGACCCACATAACTTTGATGTGACAGCACATAACCTTTTGTGCCTTTTTTGATCAATTCATCCCATTGGCCAAATATAAAAAAAAAACCTTTTACAAACCCACTTTATCCTTTAGGTATTAAAGGCAAGGTAATCAGGAACAACCAAAAGCTTTCCAAGGACTTACAACAAAAGGAGAGGGAAGGGTGGTGAGAGAGAAAGAGACAGAGAGAGAGAGAGAGCGCGCGCCAAGGAAAGAAAGATAAACAGAGACAGAAAAAATTGGGGAAAGGGGGATAAAAAGGAAGAGAAAGAAAGAGTAAAATGAAGAGACACAAAAAGAATCTCCTCCAAAACATGAAAAAAAATCACAAAATAAAAATTGGCACCAGCTCATCACAACTAAAGCATGTGAAATATTTATATTGTAGTTAAATAATCTGTAGGTTAGATTTTCACAACTAAAGCAGGCTAGATTATCTTCACAAAAAAATACCAAGACTGCACAATGATTGCAGAGAAATCTCAACCAACCTCAATGTCGGTTATATACTCAAAGCCAAAATTTCAACCCAGGTGTAGTGGCTCACCCCTATAATCCCAGCTACTAGAAGGCAGAGATTGGGAGGATGTGAGGTTCAAGGCAGCCAAAGCAAAAAGTTACCAGCACCTCATGTCAATGAAAAATCCAGGCATGGTGGCATGCACCTGTCATCCCAGCTATGAGGGAGGCTGTAGATAGAAGGACAACAGTCCAAGACCAACCCTAGGCAAAAACACAAGACCCTATCTAAAGCAAAAAAGGGTTAGAGACATGGCTCAAGTGGAAGAGTGTTTGCCTACAAAGTGCCAGGACATGAGTTAAAAACCCCAGTACTGACATAAATGTATATGGAGGACTGTCTGGGTGGAGGGAATCAGCAGGAGAGAGGATGGAGAAAGAAAAGGATACTGAGGGGTGAAGAGGACGTAAGTATATAGATATGAAGTACTACACATAAACATATATGAAGACAGCATAATGAAACCCACCAAACACTGCTTGCAAAAGGGGGAAGAGGAAGAATGGGAATGAAAATACAATGGAGGGGATGAACTTATTCAAGGTACACTGTACTCATGTTTGGAATGAAATTCCCACATATTATTAATGTATAATAATTCAAAAATAAAATTAATTAATTAAAAAAACAGTACAGCAAAAAACAGCCAACCATTTCAAAAACATAAAAATCCTTGCAATCACTACAGCAAAACATCCACATGCATAAAAACTAATGTATGTACACACTAAATACATGTGTTAGACTGTGATGGATCCTCTAATATAAGAGGCTCTGGAGTCTTAAAAGAGTTCTCCTCTTTGGTTTGGATTCTTTTTAGGGTTCCTCAAGTTGAAATCATCTTCTGAAAAATTTCACTCTAGAGTGAAAAGTAATGGCAAAAGTCAAGGATGAGACATAGAGGAGGGAAGAAGTCAGCCCAGGATGCTCTCTGTGGTCTTCCTCACCCAACCTTTCCAGACACCTACAAAACTCCTAAAATTGCCATTATGAATCATTCGTTAATCACTACCATAGCACCTCTCCAAGCTACAACACCTATATTAATGGAAGATGTCACAATCACCAGCCAGAAAAAAAAGAAGCTTACCTGTTTGATTTTATTTCGGGAGTTAGTGATGCGCTCTGTGATGCTCTGATATGTGCGAATGGCTGTCGTCAATTCTGTGTAGTGCTGCACAATCAATTCATCTAGGTCACGGTCACATTTCTCATAGGCTTCTTCAAGGCGACCCTTCTCATTTTCTCTGTCTTCGACATCATCACTGGTAGAAAGGGTCCTGGTGAAAAGAGAGAATATATCAAGCTGAATAAAACTTAAAAAAGCAAAACACAAAGGAAGGTGACTCAGTCAATATGCTAGCATGTTCATCTTACTGACTAGAAAATGAAGCAAGTTACTAACAAAATATAAAATCACTGTCATAGTCAATTCCAGCAGCCTATCTAAGTGGATTTGTTGGTTGCCTATGCAAGAATCCCATCCATTCACTTGTTCCCTTGACCTTTCAAGTGATTTCAATCAGAAAGGAGGAGGGCATGGACTTTGAGAAAGGTTGGGCAGCTCTCCTTCATTTGTGTGGATCATAACAATTCCTAATAATTCCATTCCTCTTTCAAGAACCAAGTCTAGGCAATGAGACCTAAGGAACTTCTAGTAGTTTTCTTTCAAGAATAGTAGGAAATGTTACCTTTCCTCAAACCATGGATATTGATACACAAAGCTGAGATAATCAAACACTCCAGCCATCTTACAACCATGGGAGGAAAAGTCAAGAGAATGCCAAGCTACTGCAATTATGTCATTGGGTCATGAAAGCAACCAGGCCAGAAACTATCTTACCTCAAGACTTCTTCTTAGAGGAGTTCAAATATATCTGCTGTTTAAGTTACTTTTTTAAACATGTAGCTGCAAGTGTACTAATGAATAGAATTATTCATACACTGAGGAACCACCTTCCACATCTGAATGACCTGAATTTGATACAGGACCCCCAGCAGCCTAGAAATAAGGTCATATTAATTTTAAAATCTGCTACAACACCAATAATCTCAGCTATGCAACAATACAGTCCCTGTATTTGCTGTTCTTCAAACAGTACTAACAAGGTTGATATGAATCAACAATAACCAGCAAATGAGATAAATACACTTATTAAAAAATTTTTCAATAACTTAAGTTTGCTACATGAGCCACAGATCTTTGTTTTCTCTATTAATCTTTCTTGGATTTTTTTTAATTTAGCATTATAATCAGTAACAAAGAAACCTTTTCCTATTATCCGTTGGCTGTGGTAATTTAGAGTTTCATTAAATTCCCTTAGATTTGCCAGCTTATACATTCATCCCAGTTTATTTCATTATCTTTTTTAATTTTGGGGGGTAGTATATTTTAAGCTCTCAATGATGGATATAATCAATTATAAGTCCATCATTAGAACCACTTTCAGAGATGGTCTGTCAGCAAATCAATCACATATCCACTTCTGGATAATTGCTAGCAAAATACTGTACAACAATCTTCTCCAAACTGTCATTCAGAAAAAAGGATCTTAATTCATGAGCCAAGCAATATATAAAACTTCTTTTTCAATTTAGAGGGACATTCAGGAGACCAGTTTTTGAGTTCAATCTAACCTCCAAAATGACTTCTGCAAATAAGTTACGGATACTGAGATCAAGTATCACATGAAATGGGGGTAAGAGAAATGTAATGAAGAAAAAGTCAAAAGTCACAAAGGACTATGTTTTAAACTTAGGAAAACAACATTGCTAGGAACTACAATACTTGAATCAAGAGCTTTACCATGCCAGATCCCATTCCACATCTGTAAACTGGGACCCTAAGCCAGAACAATTCCAAGGTTATTTTCAGGTAGAGAATACCAAACAAATATTTGACACTGAAGTAAATCAAAGTAGGAATTTTAGGGGGGAACTTGATTTCAAAGATAGAGCTACTAAAATTGCTAGCAATATTTGGGTATAGAGTAGTTCAGCATGTCTTTCTGCTGTTTTATGATATATAGCTTTGCTCTTTAAATCTGTAACCTTCCAAGCTGTTAATCTAAAGTAAAACACAATCAGAAAATGCCTTCAATTTATCAGCTGTCCCAAAGGTACCAGATCTTAGATATTTAACTCTATCCTTCCCCCTTATAACAGATTTTCAAACCTACACTGCATCAGTCTGCCATCTTTACAATGCCTTTCATAATTTTCTCTCTCTACTGCCATTTGTGGAAGGAAACATGCCAAACATCTCACATTGTTTACCTTAACTAGTTAGAATTACCATTAGGGAAAATGTCAGGCCCAGAGAGGATACCTTCTCTGGCATCAGCTGTCACTGCAACATATTACTGGATCATTAGGTGTTACTTAGGAAATAGAAAGGGTTACTAAAATGAAGATTAGTGAGTAAATTAAGTCCATAGGGAATCTTTGCTCCTGTTTTCATTTTCTGAGAAAATGTATAAGAAATATCCTGTGCCAGATTTGCCCCACACATCCTCTTGATATAAACTGGGATAAATGACATTTTGTTTTTAGTCAAAAATACTTACATTATGAAACAATAAGTATAAAACCATTAAAGTTTTTTTTTTTTAATTAGAGAAAAGGAAGGCAGTATGGATAATAAAAATAATAGCCACTAATATTTAGAGAGGCTTACTAGCTGCCAGGAACCAGCTGTGTTGAGCATTTTATAGAATGTATGTATAATCCCTTTGGAGCAGATCTTGTATTATCTCCCCACCCCCCTTTTTTTATAGTGGAAGCAGCTGAGATTGAAGAGGTTAAACTAATTTGCTCTGCCTCACACAATGAGGGTAAGGGATAGCACAGGGATTTAAAACCCAGGTTGGTCTGTTTACAGATCAAACTTTGAACTACTACACAGTTGTGGGCTCCAGTGTCAAACAGCCTGGTAAGACTCTTGGATACACCATATTTACCACCCATATGAGCTTGGTAATGGCATCTGATCTTGCTCATCTTTAAAAAGGAAGTAAGATACTTCCTTATAAGATTATTGGTAAGAGCAAACAGGGTTTGTATATGATTACTGCCCAACAAATGTTAGTTGTAGTTGTTAGTTATTATTGTAGTAGTGGTGGTGGTGGAGGTGATAGTGGTAGTAGGAGTAATGCAGATTGATTATCTATTATCTGAAATTCTTCAGACCACAAGTGTTTTACATTTTGGATTCTGCCAGATTTCAGATATTATATGCATAAAAATATATAATGAGGAATGACCCAAGTCTAAACATGAAACTTGTGACTCATATACACCTCATACACATAGCCTGAAGATAATTTTATGCAACATTTTTATTAAGTTTGTGCACAAAACAAAGTGGAATTTTCTACTTGTGGCATCATGTTAGCTGCTCAAAAAGTTTGGGATTTTGGAGCATTTTCAGATTTCAGACTTTTAGAGTAGGGATGTTCAACTGCAGCAAAGGGAGTAGGATTTTTCCAAACTAATATGGAATGTACATCCTCTGGAGACAGGTTCAACCCCATTATTCCCAAGTACTGGATCATTTAGAGATTCTAATCTCTCTGATTCCTTAATGTTAAGAATAGTGAAGAGTGAGATTAGATCCTATTTGTAACCTAATACATTAGCCTGACCATAATTTCATAGGTACTGATGGAAGAAACAAAACTCCTATGTCAGAGACTTAGGACTTCATTACTCACAACATAGCATGCAGCATGAGCATCAGCATATTTGTATCAGATCCCTTTGTCCCACATCCTATGCAGATTAGACAGATGGGACCAAATGGATGTTTCTCTCACACATGGAGTTATCAGAGAGGAATCCTGGCTTTAGAAACTTTTTATAATAGGCTGGAAACATTCCTGCCCTTTAATAGAAGTGACACACTATATCTTCCAAGGCTCTTTGCTAAGCAAACACTGACAACAGACTAAAACAAATGGTGCTTTGCTCACAAGAACTTTAGAAGCACATCGGACCCAAGGAGAACTGCCTCCCAACCAAAGTGAAACATAAGTCAATGGGTTCTTTCAAGGCTGAATATAGTGTGGTGCCAAGCAATAGTAGGCAGTAAAGATTCATTCCCAAGCTCTTTTTCTTTTCTGCAAAATAAGTCCAGAAATACAATGCCTTAGATGATAAATACCTGCAAAAAGCATGAATGACAGACCATAAAAAAATGAAGCAGCAGGGAAGTCTATGGACAAAATTTTCACACATGCTAGCAAAACCAAGCAAATTTCACTGTGGGGTTATCTTGCTTTAAGCCAGTCACTTGACCTAAAGTGAGAAGAGGATTGAAGAGAACACTTGTCATCTAGCTCACCCCAGAAGCCAGGTCAGGAACCTCTCTTCAGCCATCTGAGCCTCTGTGCCATGCAAAGCTCACAAGCTCACAAAGCAGTCCACAGCAATTCTGAATAGCTCTACTTATTAGAAAGCCTTACAGTATATGTGACGTTGAGCTGAGCACCATTATAAAGTCTTTCAGTAAATTAATATAAAATCAGCCTCTTAATAATTTCTACCCAGTAATCCTAGTTCCATATTTTTTTATAACACAAAATAAGTCTTTTCTCTTTTCCACAATAGATCTCTGTAGAAGAAGGATGCTCAGGAAACAGTTCTTTCTCAAGTTAAACATCTCCAATTTCTTCCACTGTTCCTTCCACATCATGGCTTCCAAGCAACCTACCACCCTTGTTGCTTTCCACAAAAGCCCCCTCAAAACCACAAAATGTACTATGAGCCAAGAATTGTGTGTTTTAAACATAAAAATTCAGTTATCCATGACAACAACCCTATGAAGTAGGTACCATTATTATCCTCTTTCTAGAAATGAAGACATTGAATTGTATGTTCAATTCAATGCAGAGCTAGACCTCAAACCTGGGCAGTCTAACTCCAGAGCAAAATTTCTAACGGCTTCACTACTCTGTCTCTCAAGATGTGCTCAGAACTGAACACAACATACTTCCAAATAGGAAGAGGTTTTAGATCTCACAACATGGACACTATAATTGTAAAAATATGTAAAACTATATCACATTTTTAAAAAGAATCCAAATTTGTTCAAGACTCCTTTGTCAGTAAAGGCTAAGAAATCAGCTTTCTCATATCCTCTAGTTGTGAAATTTTAAAAGTAAACACAGAATTTACATACACCCCTGTCTCCTACATATTAGAGAAGAGAGGTAAAAGTGAGGAACAGAATACAAATTACTGAGGGTCCATAATACAACAGCCAATGCACTGGTTATTTTGC